CTACGACTACGACGACTGCAACTGCTACCACTACGACAACTACTACTACGACGACTACGACTACACATGCTGCTACTGCTGCTACTACTACTACTACCATCACTACCACCGCCACCACCGCGACCAGGCATAAGGACAATATCAACGCTAGCACTCATGCTTATTGCCGCAGCCGCAGCAGCAGTACGTGCAGTAGAGTGATAAAAAAGCGGGCAGACTAGGAGTATGAGTAGGGGTGGCAGGACTGGAGCAGCATTGGTACAGTCGTCGTGATGAGAGATTTGCAGGCCACTGGAGGCGAGCCTACAGTGCTTCTTAGCCAAAGCCTTTCCACACCTGCCAGTCTGAAGCCCCAAACGCTGAGTCCTACATCCGGCCTTGCCCCCAAGAGTGCGCACTGCCTGGGTTGCGACCGCCGAAGAACCTGGCAGCTCAGGGCTGAGTCTCCGAAGATGGTTACCGGCAACTGAGGTTTCTCATCGACCAAGGTCCCTCTCAAGCACACTTGCTGAGACCACTATCCTGCAATACGAACCTTAAGCGGCACCATGATCCAGAACGAACACCAACACCACCAGACGCCAATCTGCAAAAACAACAGAATCAGGCACATATCCTTTCCGCTCTCTCGGATTCCATTTAAGGCCTGATGTTGGCGTGTTACTACTGTTCGTTGGATTTCTGGCAGACCACCATTAAGACAATCAGTAAGATCCGTGTGCAAAGCCGCAAGCAAAAACCAAAACAAACGCGTACGGGTAATTCTCGAAACGTGGGTCCCTGTCAAAGGGTCCTTGGTACAAGGGTGCCGTACTGTGAGGACAGGAAAAGGGCCCGTAATTCACAGAACTACCCATTTGTCTTTCGAGACGGCGCAAACTGTTGCATGCGACTCTTTGAGCCCGTCAACCTTAGACTGCATGGACTAGGGGTTGGAAGGAGTCAACCTGGCAATTAGGTGTCTGTATAATCGAACATGCTTTCGGAGCATACTACCGGAATTTATGTATATAAGGAACGCTTGCAGTGCATTTTGACAAGAGGTTTAGTTAACCTCTGCGCTGACTGCCAAGCTGATCCCACCATGCGGCACTTATGAAGAAATGATATTGGCAACTAGCCTGGCCGCCACATCAAACTGCATTCAACGAGTTTCATCGTCAACCCCGCCAGACCCAGGGAACTGAACTCCCACTTTTCATAGACCCTACACCCCTAAACCCTAAACCCCTAAACCCCTAAACCCCTAAACCTCTAAACCCCTAAACCTCTAAACCCCTAAACCTCTAAACCCCTAAACCTCTAAACCCCTAAAGCCTAAACCCCTAAACCCCTAAACCCCTAAACCTCTAAACCCCTAAACCCCTAAACCTCTAAACCCCTAAACCCCTAAACCCCTAAACCTCTAAACCCCTAAACCTCTAAACCCCTAAACCCTAAACCCCTAAACCCCTAAACCCCTAAACCTCTTTAGACCCCTAAACCCCTAAACCCCTAAACCTCTAAACCCCTAAACCTCTAAACCCCTAAACCTCTAAAGCCCTAAAGCCCTAAACCCCTAAACCTCTAAACCCTAAACCCCTAAACCCCTAAACCCCTAAACCTCTAAACCCCTAAACCCCAAACCCCTAAACCCCAAAACCCTAAACCCCTAAACCCCTAAACCTCTAAACCCCTAAACCCTAAACCCCTAAACCCCTAAACCCCTAAACCTCTAAACCCCTAAACCCGAAGCACACTCTTCCCAAAGAGCCGTAAACCTCGACATCCAGGGCCCGATCCGACCCGACAGAAAAACAGTCGGATCCTTGACGTTCCTTTAAGGACGACAGGGGTTTAGGGTTTAGGGGTTTAGGGTTTAGGGGCGGACTAGTAAGTTGAGAATATGGTAGAGATTGGTAGAGTTACAATAAGGACTATAAGGCGATAATAGTGGCAATTCTTTCGACTCCGATATTACACATACCCTCTGTGCCCAAATGTCTCAGAAGATCCATGGCCGGCAAAAGAAGACCTGTCAACATGGGAGCTTTAACAATCAGAATAGGGCCCCTTCCAGGGTTCCTGTAGAGGGTTCTCTGACTTAGGTGCCGTAAGGCTTAGAGTATGGGCTTCGGGCTACATTATACCATACTTCTACGGGAACGAGGAATAGCATTGGCAGTTCTTCAGGCCCCCTGTACAGTACAAACAACTTCAGAGCCGAAAAGCGTGTTGCCGTCGATGTCGTCACCTTGGTACCACCCGAAGTGCTTTGGCTCCAGGCCCAGGTTCAGGGATGTTCGACGTGTTTGTTGGGTCTTCATACGGTCTTTATGGTATCGTACCCTTCAGGCTCGCGATTCCTAATGTGATGCCCCGAGCCCACGCAGGGTTTCGGCTTTCCATGCTGGCATAGGTTCTTTACAGATCTTCAGATCTTCAGGGTTCCATGCTTCAAGGGCTTCCAAAACTGCATGGGAGAATGCAAATCCACAGCGAACCCGACAGATAGGACGGGCCGCAAAGCATCAACAGCCGGAACCACTGCGCCCTCGATTCGAAACTCCGACTCTGCCCCCGAGTGGCCGTGCTTGTATGGCCAACGGCCCTTGTTCATCCCGCGCTTCATTCCAGCGGGAGCCGGGAATTGGAACAAGTCGTCGATGTTGGACAGCACCTTGACTTGGCAGTTCGCAGGCACAGTCCCAGATCAAAAACACTGCCGCTACACCCCCCCCCCCCCCACCGCTAGCACTGCGATGCATGTTTGGTCCTGAGAAGGCAAGCCTGCAGCACAAACAGCCAAGAAGCTAACAAGTCGATGTCCATGACGAGAACCTGCCCAGGTCACAGCCCTCGTGTTGCAACCCTTACCCTTATCCTATAAGCTCTACAAGCTAGTAAATATGTACATGATCAACCCACTATGTCATCTCACAAATGGTCTGCAACACCTGGGCAGCGCTACCTGTACCTTCTTGCACGGTCTGTTGAATCCTGAGGGCGTCAGACTTCGGTAATCATCTTTAAGTGCTCCTGGACAGCCACAGTCACTGAAGACCTTAAACCACACAAAACCCCAAAACCGCCAAACTTCCGCAAAACCCTAGACCGTGCACCGCCTTCTCGAAGTCTGTCTGCTCCAGTGCGCGAAGCTTCGTAAAGACTTTGAAAAACCTCGACTCCTCGATGTAGTCCTCGACACGTTTGGGACTTCAGGAAAATTTGGGGCCTCATCCGGGTTAGGGCACACGGCTGGGCAGCCGGAACGGCCGACGGCCCATGCAACAAATGGCCAACCCCTCTGAACGCTAACCCCGAAAACTCTAAAGCTCGAGAGCATTGCCTCGACCTACCTCTCTGAAGGCTTTCTGAATGAAGTTAGGGGTTCAGGGTCTCCCAAAAAGAGGGGTCCATCTAAAGAGGTCCTGATAAAGAGGATCCCACTCTATGGGGTCTACGTTCGGGTCCTTTTTTTAGGGTGCTGCCAAAGCGTCATCCGTGCTCAGTCTCCGGGCTGCTTTCACCTGGCCGCGAACTGCATGTGGACGATGTCTTGCAAAGAAGACGCCTAAATAATTAGAATGGTCAGGTTTGGGGGACTTTGAGGGTATATTATGCTGACAAACTACCTCGGCTATAATGTTAATGATTCCGAAAGGATTCCGAATTGTCCACGCCCCTATATTGCATGGTTGATCCGTGGTTCTTTGCTGGGTTTACAATGAAGAAGCAGTCAAGTGTCAAGGTGAAGTCCCTCGTTCGCCCCAGATTTTATGTCAAAAGAAGCCATCACTCTGGCGACAAAAGCCCGGACAACCGAATGACCGCTCAAATTCAGGGAAAATGTTTCACTCGCAAGGAGCCTCGATATGGTCCACCACGCGGCATTCCCAAAACAACTGCAACAGCTCAACCTTCGGGGAACTTGGCCGCTCCAAGAAATCGCACCGCGACCGCTTCACGAGAGCACATGCGAATGCATAATCTGAAGAAGCGGATCAGGCAACAAGATCTGGTCAGCATGTCGCCAAGTGCCCCGTGGCACACCACACAGCAAGATTCAGCCAAGCTGCATACTCTGGCGGAACATCGTCGGCATGCAGGCAAACCAATGTGTTCTGAGTCTTGGTCCGCTTGATTGAATATCCTCGCAAGCGGGAGAGGTTGGAGGAGGGAGGAGGAGCAACCGGTAACGGATCTTGCCGCTGGACATTGCGAGAACGCAATCATTGCAAAACCCTGTGCTGTTCAAATGGGCTGTCGGATGTTCTTCTGAAAAGTGTAGCAAGACTCTGTGCAAAGCATGTGCAACAGCAAGGAACTTTGCAAGGCATCCACATCGCGGGTTTCACCATAGCAGCTCATCGCATCTCGCATTCACTTTTTCACCCATCGGTGAAACATGCCGTGTTTTGACCGGATGCCACTTTTGGAAATTTCGATGCATGCCTGACCTAGAAGCTGTTGTCCGGACATGGGACCCTAAACCTTTCGAACCGGGAGCTCGTGCTCTAAACCCTAAACGGTGTAGAAGCGAAGGTCGCACACGGATACTGTAGTTCATGCCTATCGCGGAGATCCTGGGAGTGTGAAAGTCGTAGGGCAGTTCATACATGCCACCAAGACAAGGGTCGGGATAATTAGCAATCGTCTTCCCGTACGAAAGCTCTACTGATTAGGCCCCCTATACCAGGCCCTAACTTCACAAATTCACACAACATTTTGATATGGTTCAAGGTCCAAGCTTCCCAGCACCAACGCGCCAAGCACGTAGTCCTGGCGTTTCGACTTAAATCAATGACCCCAAAGGACTTCTAATCTCCAAGCAGCGGTTTTGCTTTAGGGCTTGAGGGTACAGGGTTCAGGGTTTTGGGCCAGTGGACCATCATGGCTTACACTGTGCTGTCGTACTTGTGCAACCGATGCCGTTGACAGGTCATGCCTGGCTAGTCGGAGCGCATCTGCGACGATAAAAGCTTGCGCCGGGAAGCAAGTGTCCTTGGAAGAGCCCCACAAACAAATCACAAAGGCATAGCGCCCGCGCCGATGTGGAGCCACCTGGGTGGAATAGTTGATTGTGAACCAGCAGCAAGGGAGGGATGCGGCGGTGTAAAACATCTGAGTAGGGCATGCGGGACATGCATGTGAACATGACATGAACCCTTCATTTCTCTTTGAACACATTTCAAACCGTCTCAAATGTAGTGAGCGTGGTTGACCATTACCCTCTCAACACCGCGAACAGCCCGAACCTCGTTCGCTCGCTGAGCACGGCTGCGATCCACGATTTTGACCTTTGGCGGAATCAGGGATGGTAGAGCACAGGTCTGTCACGACAATGCAAATTGACATGGGCCCTGAACTCATCCATCCTTGTAGCATCCGGGTCGTCAGCTCCAAACCCTTTTGCAGCCGGGCTTCTATCGCAGGGTACTCCCGACACCCCACTCCTAAACCCACACATCCAACAACAAACCTCCCGCAAGATCCCCTAGCAAACATGAGGATTATATAGGATTATCGTAAACTGCCCAGGCACTTCCAGCGGCCTCTTGCACACCTCATCGTTGAGCGAAGAGCACGAAGTAGCCAACCAAGAAACACACCATTCGGGCAAAGGTTGCTTGTGCTTTACTAGAATAAGCGACGTGGTATACAAGCAAAACCCGAACTCGCCGGGGCTACCACAAACGTTGCATGCAAATCGACCTCGACTAGGAATCCATCATGCCGAGGTGCTGAGCAAAAGCCGGACCAGCCCTCACCATCTCCAGATTGCCGGAAAATTTTGGCAATGCTGCCAGGCAGTCGGGATGTTAGCCTGAGCCGTCCACACTCAAGAATCACGCCCCCTTTCGTGTCAAGTAGCCAAGTTGCTCCAGACAACGGTTGGCCGTGAGGTCCGAAAACATGTCCTGCTGGAACGAGCTCTTGCCATGTCCAGTGCCGAAAATTTTGCCATCGCCTACAGCCTAAATACTAAATACCCACTGGACCATCCGGGCTCGATTATAGGGCACTTGGGGGTCCTGGTATCAAGAAACTCGAGCAAGCGTCACCAGTCAGGAGCACTGCACCTGCCTCGCCCAAAGTTTCGTCAGCGCCGATCGGGGTGGTCGGTCGGCGGCGCCGCCGACCGCTTTGTTTGTCACCGGTAACGCCTGAGTTCCCCCCTGGTTCATACTGCAAACGCTTCTGTCGCAGGCAAGAATCACTCCATCGAGGAACCACCGAACAAGCAGCACAACTCCTAGAGCACATGCTCCACGGGAATTCCATCGACCCGACGATAATTGTCACGGGTGCTGAGGGAGTTGCAGAATCGACCACAGCTGTTTCCATTGATAGAAGCTTTCCACAATAACGAGTTCCAGGCTGCGAGCCATGTGAGCACTGAACGGCTTTGTCTCGCTCGACACATTGCAATAAATTTCACGGATGGTGAACCACCAGCATAGCTACAACAAATCTAGCATCACCCTTGCCTTGCTCAGATCGTCATGCTGAGCCGAGCGGCCCAATGCGCGTCGGAAGGCTGCACGCCCAAATGACCACGCGACCCAGAGCGCCACCAATATCCTGTCCCACGCAATCGTTACTGCCTCATGCAACCAACTTCCTATTCTGGTACGTGTCCAAAAATGTACAAAACATCTTGCCGGCGCGTGACAAAATATGCGATTGTACACGAATCCCCGTCACTACCTCAATGTGTCGGCGAGGTTGAGAGCCTGAAGTAGGCGCCATATCCTGCCGGCAAATCTAAACACCGTTGTGGGGTCCTCAGATAGCACCTACATAAGCATGTGCCTTCGAAAGTGGTATCTCTATAGGGGCATGGTTTCACTGTTTCGCGTTAACGTGCTCGTAAAGAACCGCCATCTGGGCTGAATGAAGGTTCAAGGATGTTCAAGAAAAAACCTCTCGAGGATGCACCCCTACTTTTACGAAACTATATTGTACGCCACGAAACTATCACCCCCTGAACTCGGAACTCCACATCGTCTATCTGCACTCTACGTTGTACTGCTATTTTTCCTGATTTCATACCGACCTACTGATGCTGGTTCTGTTTCTCGTGGTGCCAGGACTAAAACCAGGACGGCGACTCCTACAGTTGTTGCTGCTGCAACTCCTGGTTCTGCTGCAGCTACTGCTATAGCTACAGCTTCCGCCACAGCTACAGTTTCTGCTACTGCTGGTGCTGCTAACTGTACTGGTGCTGGGCCGCTTCCACAGCTGCTGCGGCTGCTGCGGGTACTACGACATGAAACATGTTCCATGAACGCTCGCTCGACCACAGTTCCTACGCATGGACGAATGCATACATGTATGCATGTATGTATATGTATGTGTGTGGTTTGTCTGGTTGTCGATCCAACTTGTTTCATACCGGAAAAAACCTTCTCCGCGAAGGCTAATTGATTTTCGCGACATCCTCGCAAAGCTTTGGCAGAGACATGTTTTTCGTACCGCTGCGAAACAAAACCGTGCGTCATAAGCCGTTTGCTTCTCGATGGCAGGGCAGAGGTGGGAGGTTGTGACAATAGCCGCAGCCTAGCAGCAGCAGTAGCAGCAGTAGCAACAGCAGCAGCAGCAGTAGGAGCAGCAGCAGCAGGTAGCAGTAGTAGTAGTAGTAGCAATAATAGTAGTAGTACTAGTAGCAGCAGCAGCAGCAGCAGTAGTAGTAGTAGTAATAGTAGCAGCAATAGTAGTAGTAGCAGCAATAGTAGTAGTAGCAGTAGTAGTAGTAGTGGTAGCAGCAGTAGTAGTAGGAGGAGGAGCAGTAATAAGAGTTGTTTTACTGGTAGTCGTTGTAGCAATAATCGTCGTACTAATAGCAAAGTAGTGGATGACCTTTACAAGAAGAGCAGCAATAACAACAATTTTCCCGCTCGCCTTGCGAGTCCAGTTCAATAGCCCGGTGATTTGTAAGCGCAAATGGGGGTGTGCCCCCCAACACCACCGCCTTGTTAGACTGCAAACCTCTGCTCTCTGAAGCCCCCACACGCCGTAACATGGCAGAAAGCCATAAGAAAAGGCTTCAAGGAAATACAAATATGCATGAGTGATTCGCTGGTTTTGGACTGCAAACTCCCTGCACTCCTGAGCCGCGAAGAAATGAACGTCCCCTCCCCCTTCGGATATCGCCCAGAACCAGGATTACAAGCCCCTGCCCCCCGCATACTTCGTTCAAATCCAAAGCTACGGACTTCCAACACGCAAAGGAGAAAGCGACACGAAAACGCTTCAGTTGGCTTAAACGCGAAGAAAATCACATGAATCATGAGTGATTTGGAAGCCCTTCAGTTTTAGACTACATTACTACGTACTTCACTCAAACCCAAACCCAAAAAAACTACAAGCCCCTCCCCCATCACACGCCACCCAAAACCGAACCCCAAAGGTACCACTAATCGTCGGGAGACGTTTGCTCGAAAACACACAAAGAAAACGAAAACGCTTCAGAGGTAGTCAAAACAAAAGAATGTGAAATCAATCTTGAACGATATGGAAGCTCGGCAAATGGAGGGCTCCCTCCCCCAACCCCTCTTTTGACACTGCAGCCTCCTTCCCCGCTTTCCTAAGCCGCGAAAAACGTAGCTAAAAAAAACGTTGTTAACCCCCAGACAAGAAGCACCCCCCCCCCTTGTCTTGGTAAATCGAAGACTCAATCCAGGACAACAACCCCCCCCCCCCCCCTCGATAGTCTTCTGAAATCCAAGACTGCAAGCCCCCCCCCCTCCCCCCCCGCTTCATAGTCTTCCGGAATCCAGGACTACAACCGCCCCAACCCCATACTATTCCCAAACCCAGGAAGGACGACAAGCCCCACCCCCGCCCCGACTCTTCCTAATCCAAGACCACAACCCCCCTTTCCCGCTATCGAACAGGTCTGCGCCCTGGCAAAGCCGCGAGGAAAAAACGACGCAACTCCCCGAATAGTAGTTGTAATAACATGAAGAAGAATAATATTAGTGATTGTCATTGTTTGTGATAATTCTAACAACAAGAAAACCATTAACCAGAGTAGCAAATAACAAAAACAAAAATAATCATAGCAATGGTAACAGTACCAGTCATGGAACAACAAGACCATGCCCTGATACGGCAAAAAAACCAACGTATAACTTTTGCTAAACGATAACCAGCTTTAGCGGTACCATCGCCGAACCTTCGCGACGGCGCGTTTAGCTTATGCAGATGGCCTATCATTTAAACTATGGCAACCTGGTGACCGGCAGGGCCGCGAATAGTACGAACCGGGGGCCATGTCTTCAAAAACAATTCTTGTTAAGCGACGCCCACGAGAAGCTGATCACAAAATCAACATCGATTTTGGTGCCGATTGACCTGTAGCTCAATCTAGTGAACGGCCAAACCGAGAATAGTACGAACCGGGAACTATGCGGTTTAGAAACACACGTTTCTAAAGGAAAAACAAGCCAAACAAGCGAAACACACCGAAGCAAATGAGCCAAGCAAACCAAACACACAACCAAACAAACCAAAACGAAACAAACCAAAACGAAAAAAAACAAAGCTAAATTAACCAAAAAGTGCCGAGTCTGAAACGCGCGCTTCGGCAGATCAGACCCTCCCCGCCGGGCGGCTGTTTGGTTTTTCGCTTGTTCGGTGTGTGTTTGGTTGTTTCTTGGTTGGTTGCTCGCTTGTTGTTTTGCTTGCTCGCTTGCGAAAGTGTATTTGTTTGGGTGGTTTGGGCATGTTTGGGCTGGTTAGTTGAAGGTGGTTGGTTGAGGCTGGTTGGATGACGTTGGTTCGTTGGTTGGTTGTTCGCTTGCTGGCTTGCTTGTTTGCTGGTGTGTTTGTTCGGTTGTTTTTGGTTGTTGTTTCAACACAATGTTTTTGAGTTTGGTTGAGTCTTGCTTGCGGCTGCTTGAAATTGGTTGGTTGAGGGTGCGTGGTTGAAGCTGGGTGATGTTGGTGGGTTTGTTGGCACGGTGTTTGGTTGGTTTATGGCTTTGTGTTGGCTGGGGTGGGTGGTCTGGTTAATTTGAAATGACTTGGTTGGGTTAGTGCCTTTTTCGTGCATTTGCGTCTGTGTTTTGTGTTTGCACTTGTGTTTGTGTTTGTGTGTGGTTGTGCGCTTGTCTATAAATCTGTGTGTGTGTGTGTGTGTTGTTGCTTGAGTGGCTTGTTGCCCACAAACCGCCAAAAATACACTTGCTGTAGCGGAGGTATAAGTGCAGCGCTTTTTGCATGGTGCCACTGCAAGATGTGGACAGTTGGGACGCCTCAAATGAGTCAGTGGCCGAGAGAATCTTGCCTCGGTGTGTCTGTGTCTGTGTCTGTGTGTCTGTGTGTCTGTGTGTCTGTGTGTCTGTGTGTCTGTGTGTCTGTGTGTTTGTGTCTGTGTCTGTGTGTCTGTGTGTCTGTGTGTCTGTGTGTCTGTGTGTCTGTGTGTCTGTGTGTCTGTGTGTGTGTGTGTCTGTGTGTCTGTGTGTCTGTGTCTGTGTGTGTGTCTGTGTGTGTGTGTGTGTGTGGTGTGTGTGTGTGTGTGTCTGTGTGTGTGTCTGTGTGTGTGTGTGTGTGTGTGTCTGTGTGTCTGTGTGTGTGTGTGTCTGTGTGTGTTGTGTGTGTCTGTGTGTGTGTGTGTGTGTGTGTGTGTGTGTGTGTGTGTGTGTGTGTGTGTGTGTGTCTGTGTGTGTGTGTGTGTCTGTGTGTGTGTGTGTCTGTGTGTGTGTGTGTGTCTGTGTGTGTCTGTGTGTGTCTCTGTGTGTGTGTGTGCGTGAGTGTCTCGCCCATTGTGACAAACAGCATCGTCCGAAATGTGTGCATGTAGTATTTGTGTAATATGCTCGTGTGTCCATGGGTTTTTCATACACATGCGTATTCTCTGTCTGCGCCAATGTATGTCCGCGTTGATGTGAGCCACCCACCTGGGAACAACACTGGCTGCAGCAGGGCGCCATTGTCGGATCATTGGCTGCGTACTCAATGATCAGACAACCGCGTAGTTCAAGATTGAAGGCTTCGGCTCAAAAGCGGAAACTGCGCCTGGTTGTGAAACTTTTTGCAAGGAGAACTTGGATTTAACATGGGATCCCAGCGGTTTGTGACTTCCGCACCGTTGGTGTGCCGTTTCCTTACAAGGCAGGTAGGGCGGTCTCAACTCCAGGGTCATCAGGCTCAAGAGCTTGGGTCTGAAGTTCACGTGGGTTTAGGTTTGCGGGGTGCGGGATTCTTGGCTTTCGGAACGAAGCTTGGGTCCTTCCATGCGCTGAAGAGCTATTCTTGGGCCATGGAATGCGAAGGACAGGAAAGCATCAAGTACACAAAGCTTCCAAGTGCAGTGATTTAACTCTGGTGTGAAATTTGCCATCTTCAAAATTCTTTTCCGACTGCAAAAACATCCGGTGGCTACGACAGGGTCCTATTGCAACACGTTACTACGTGCCGTCCCGGCTTGGGGCCGCAAGGGCAAGCGGCTGGGCGCCTCGTCCGCGGCGAGGTCGAGCACACGGTCCCGTCGCCCGGCCCCGGCGCTGGGACGGCTGGCCACGAACGCCCCAATGCTGTGCTTGGAACGGCAAGCTGGACCGCGACTGACAAAGCTCCCCACCAACATCGCGCCCACCCAGAGGACGCGGCGCCACGCACTGCGGGCGGAGCGCGGAGAGCTCGGAGGCGGACGAGGTCGCGAACAAAGTGCTGCGCTGTTGCGTTCCAGCGGCTCCCGATCTCCGAGCCGAGCACCAGCAGCTTTTGCGGGCCGCCCCTCGCGAGCACGTGCTGTGCTTGCGCCGCTCCGCGACCTTCAGTGCCGCTCCGTCCTCTTCCACTGTGCATGGATGTGGGTGCCCTGTCCTTGTGAAAGGGGACACCAATGTTGCTTCGCTTTCGTTTTCGCCCTTCCGAGTCCGCTGGTGAAGACTACGGTCCTATAAGGACATGGGGAATAAAGGACACGCGCTATCACTACTTCGAAAGGCATTTCTCCTCGCCCCCCCCCCCCAGGGCATTATTGGATATGATTGGAATGCCTTCCCCCACCCGCCCACCTGGGTCCCTGGATAAGGCACATGCCTGAATAGGTACATGTCTCAGTGCGCGCGGTCCGTCGGAGCACAGGGCCGGTACCGCGTCCCCGCTGGGCAGGGCGGTTGGGATTGGTGCCGAAACTGCCTTGAAGCAACCCCCCCATCTCAAGCCGAAAACCGGGGGTTGCTTTGCGGGAAGGGGGAGGCTTGGGCGGGGCAATTGGATTCGCATACATAGCCGAGTTTTGTTGGGCGTGTGCTGACCGGAATGGTTTAGGGGATAACGGTGTTAGGGTTTAGGGGTGTGCAGGGTGTCGGGTTTGGCATGAGAACATGCACCCCGGAGACCACGGATTCCTTAGACCAGCCCGAATGTGCTCTTAGCCTCCAAGCGAGCATCGGAAATAAAACAAGTTTTCCTGGGGCATCCGAAAGGGTGGGGGCGCAAGGCATTAGGGGGGGTCGCAAGGCATTTCACGGGGTGGAAACGCATTTTATTGCCTTCCGGGAACCCCCGTACAGGGGGGCCGCAAGGCATTCTGCAGGAGTAGTGATCACGCGCTCAAGCAGTTGGGACAAACTCGTTGACGAAATCATCTGCTTTGCGTTTCCATGCACAATGTTGCGTCGCAGCACAACGCCCCGCCATGGGCCGTGGCGCCGTAGACAACAAGGTCGAGGCGCCGACGGTTGTGTGGGCGACCCACTGTTGTGGCACGACCTGGCCTTCGGGTCCTATACGGCCTCATGCGCCACGCGGACCCAGGCGCGCTCAACCACTTTCGCACGTCTGGCCAACAAGCCCGTCCGAGCTAGGGCATGGTCGCCTAAGGGCGGCTCCATGGCTCCACCACATCCACGGCTGGGGCCGCAGCGGCTGGGGCAAAGAGCCATGGGCAGGCGAAGGCGTCGCCTCAACGCAATTTGCATGGCTTGTGGTGGGATGCTGGTTGCCTGGTCGCACGGCACCGCGGTCAGCCACGCTCCGGCATGCGGCCCTGCCTGGGAGCGGAGCAGTGCACGCGAACGGGGCGGCAAGGAAGGCAGCAGCACGCAGTCGCGAGAGTGTACGGTAAGGGTCCGCAATGCGTGGTGCTGCCAGCCGTGCGGCCAGTCCCCGGCACCAGGGGCTGCTGGCGGGGCAGGACGGGCTCCTTCGAGCAGCATTCGCCATGTCGGGCAATCGTTCCATCCTTGGTCCTGCAAGGTTTGGCGTGCGTTCGCTGCTTCTGCAAACCAGTGCACGCCATCTCCGGCGTCGGACTCGAGGAGGCGCACATAAGTGGCCCGCGCTTGAGGGCAGGCGTGCATTGATTGCAGGCAATGCATCCGCCCAGGAAGCCCAGCAAGCTGCAGGTGCTATCGCCTCAGCGGATAGCAACCCGAGGCCCCCCAGCGCACCTGGCAGGGCGGCGACTTGCCTCGCATGGGCGGCTTCCGCGTCGCCCATTCCGCCGAGCATGGCCTGCAGCGTCGTCCATATGGCATCATCATGTCCTCGCGCGTACGTCGCAAACGCCGAAGGGGGCATGGTGCGAATGGCGTGGTTCGCGCGAGGTGACGCGCACATTAGCAGGAGCAGCCATGCACACTGTAGGTCTGGCAGCTTGGGCAGTTGGTCGAGAAGCTCTTGCTCGGCACGCATGCTTGCACGAAGGCTGGGTGGCCCACAGGCGACCCAGAGGCTCCGATTAGTCTATTTACAGACTATATATACAAATATTAACTAATAGTTAATATTTATACTAATTCCTAAAATAGTTAAAAAATTAACGTTAACTATAGTTAAAAAATTAACTCCAAAAAATATATAAATTAACTCCAGAATATATCTCAATGACATGATCGTGTGCAGTATTTTTCCACAAGCCCGTCTGCAAAACTCTGGTCTGAGGCCTAAGGCTAGCGATGTCGATCACTGCTTCTTTTGAGCAATGTGGCCGGAGGATAGCACGATGTATCGATGCTTACCGTCAGCTGCCCACTTCTTGCACTGACTGCAGCCGAAAAGCAAGCCACGATCTTTGGTGCATCCGTACCGAGTCAGCAGGATACCGTCTTCCTGCAAGACTTCCTTGGCTGGCTCTCCCCTCGTAGGCTCTTCCGCTGCGGCCCGGACTACAGGCTCTGCCGCAGCCGGTCTCTTGCAGGCACCTTTGGCGGCAGCAGGCTTCTTCAAGACACCTGGAGACGAGTTCCTAGCTTCCGCGATGGTCTCCATCCTTGCCTTTTTAGACATTGGTTTGGCCGGGCTGCAGGCTAGAGCTGCTGCAAGAGCTCGCTTGTTGGCTCGCTCTAGGAAGCTTGAAGGCTCTGTAGAGCCCTGGGCAGGCTCTGTAGAGCCCTGGGCAAGCTGCAAAGTTGCAGCAGCAGACGTCCCTGCAAGCGATCTCTGACCATCCGAAGGCCCGAGCAGAAGCTTGAAGTTTCTCTCTATCTGCCTTTCATCCTCAGACGAGTCATTCGCCTCGGGCACAAGCTGCAGTGGCAAGGGCCCTGTGCCACTGTCTGCAGGAGCAGCCAGCCCAGGATTAAGGATGCGGCATAGCTTCAAGATGCAGGCTTGTTGCTGCAGCGAAGTCTTCTTCAGCGCCTTCGCTCGCTCTTTTTCGTCGACAGCAATTTCACGGATCTTGCCTGTGATCATTCGGAGCCTCAACATCAAGTACTTGATGCAGGCATCCTGCCAATTGGGTCCTGTGGCATTCGCTGGTCGACTCATCTCAAACGGTGTGGCCTTGTGGCAGCTGAGCAGAGCAGTTTCCAGCATCTTGTGAGGCAAGAGGCCGTTGGAGCAAATCCCTAGCAGACAGATCAGCAAGCCTTCCATGGCACAGATTTGTGCCACATGGCCTGTGATCGCTGTCTTCCAAGACATATTCTCCAAGCCGCAAACCATTCGTTCGAGGCTACGATGGCCCATGTGCTTAAGCCCTTCCTCGATGGCCCCTTGCAGCTTTGGAGCCGTCACGGAGTCCAGCACCTTCAGGCGGGTTCGGCCGACGACTTCCATTGCTCGAAACTAACAAAACACCGAGGCACTCTAAAACCGGTCTTGAGCCCAAAAGCAAAAAACGACACAATTACTAGAAGATCATACAGCAGGCGGTTCCTCCGTGCACTTCTACTATACGGGCCGGTTTTTTTCGGACGTGACTGCATGTCACACAAAGAGGGGTCGGTGAAACTCCTTGTCTACTTCGACACATATGGCCCTAGCATATTGCCGACCGAATCTTTGCAGTGCCGGCAGCTGCTTCCTGCCATTCAGGCAGGACTTCAGCAGGGTCTTGCAGCGGCTCATATAGTCTTCTCCGCTGTACGTCCACAAAAACTTCGGGTTCATGTACTCGGAGTAGTGGAGACAGTGGATCAGCCAGTGAGACTTAAACGTTAACTGGAACAAACACCGCCCAAGCTTCAGATGTTCCTTGGTTAACTTCGTGAGACATTGAGCGAGGCTGACTCCAGCAAGAACCCATTGCTCACTCTCAGCCTTCGTGGGGTGCCAGTCGCTAGAGGAGGACACCTCTGTATCCAAGAAAACGCTCAGTTCCAGCAGCAAGTTCGTGAGGATGTGCAGCTCCTGCTGAGGATCCATGCGGTTTCCCCAAACCGTCTTCAATGCCGCCACTGTCGCCTTGGTTTCGGCAGCCTTGCATTTCAGGCATGGGTAGGATTCCCGGCAGTCCACGTCGCCGACTTTGGACAAATACATCCCCGGTGTGAGTCTGCTCACCGGCCTTTCGCCACGTCCCCGGTGTGCTCTGTGCAGCTCTTCCACCAACTGGATGCGGTTGGATTCAACATCGCCGGGCATCACAGTGTGCACTAGGAGCCAGATGACACTGCCACATATTCTTTGGTCCACCCCAAGATGCTTCGTGTGCATCATGTCTGGGAAGACGGAAGCCTTGCAGAGAGTTCTCCGACAAAGAATGTGGGAGTCATGTCTCGGGAGAATCCACGGGTCTGCCGGCACCCTCGGAACTGCCCTGAAGCCAAACATGGCCTGTCGTGCGACACCGCACAGGCCACAGGGCTTCAGGGAATTCCAGCGAGGAAGGCCATGTGCCAGACTGAACCACTCCAGGTCTCCGCTGGCGAAAAGCAGCACCGGGAAGGGTCTCTGATGCCCCGCTGCTTCGTCCAGGGCGGCATCGAAGGACTGGCACACTAGAGCCCAAAGGCTTTGCACTGTGTCCTCGCCGCCGGCCTTGACGATCAGGTCGCACCAGATCGCAGCCATCAGCTGGTGCTGACACTTGCTGGCCGCTCTCTGACACAACAGGGATCTCCAGCTAATGAAAGCGCAGGACTTCTGGCTCGCCCCTATGGCTGTGATTGGCACACCGTCACCGTGCAAAACGAGCGGTACTGCCCGACGTTGGAAGCCTCTGATGTTTCGCACTGGATGGTGCCGAAGGGCCGGGTGTCCAGAGCACTGGTTCCAGAACTCCTCCAGCTCATCAACCGAGGGAAGGCAAACTTCCTTGAAGAACTCTGGACGTCGAGTCCGCAGGCATTCGAAAGTCTGCACCGGGTCAAAGAAAGGGATGCGACCTGGCCTAGGATTCAATGGCAGCATCTCATATCTCGGTTCCAAGAACGGCGGCTGCACCCGTCGCTCCAAATCTCTCCAGAGATTATGGGTCAAGTCTGTGCTGCCTCCCAAACCTGCCAAGGTGGCGAGCTGTTTCGGAACAGTTGCCCGCTTTCGGGTTAACTCATCCGAAGCAAGCCCGGCGGTTGTTCGGACTTGTGCCAAGCTCTGATGACCCCAGAGGAACTGTCGGTACAGATGCACAGCGAGCTCTGATTCCTCCTCTTCCTCCTGCAGACGGGCAGTTCTCTGCCGAACACCTTGCCGGGAGCCTCCAAGCACGGCTGCTTCCATGGCCAATCCTCCGATGGCCCAGTTCTAAGCCTAAGCAGCTGCATGGCTGCGAGCCAAAAGCTTTACAACATCGATCACGACGACAGGGCGACTACGACGACGACCAGGACGACCACGACAACGGCGACGACCACGGCGACGACCACGGCGACGTCGACGACGACGACGACCGCGACGACGACGACGGAAGACGACCAACCCTGAACTCTCAACCCTGAACCCTAAGGTTGGCCCGGGAGGGAAGGTAGGGGGAAGGGTGGGGGGGTTTGGAAGTTTAGGGGTTTCGGGGAGGGGGGTTGGGGACGGGAGAGGGGATGGGGAGGGGATCGGGGGGTTTAGGAGTTTAGGGGTTTAGGGTGGGGTTCGGTTTCGGGGGTTTAAGATTTTTAAATTTTGGGTGTTTGGGTTCGGGGGGTTCAGGACTTCAGGTGTTTAGGGTAGGGTTCGGATTTGGGGGGTGTAAGTTTTTTTAACTTTGGGTGTGTGCTTAAGGTCGAGGATTTTTCGGGTTTGGGTGTTTTGGGTTTCTCTTCATGCTTATATCTACTACTACTTTATAATAAGTACTACTACTACTACTACTACTACTACTACTACTACTACTACTACTACTACTACTACTACTACTACTACTACTACTACTACTACTACTACTACTACTACTACTACTACTACTACTACTAAGTTACTACTACTACTAAGTTACTACTACTACTACTACTACTACCACTACTACTACATCATGCAGCCAGTAGTGCTGCTGCTCCTAATATAATACTATACTTTTCCAGTCGCACAGCTAAAATGGCGCTTTTGTTTTTACATTTTGAGCTTTTGCTTTTTATTTTTTTGTTAATTTCAGCGCCATTTTTGCTGTGTTTTCTTTCGCTTTTTTGCAAAATTTGGTTTGCGGTTTAAGATTCTGGGCTGCATTTTCCAAAACGGCACCAAAGGTAGTGGAAGTTTGGTGGAAGTTTCCTGGAAACTTCCGCCGGGCACGTGGAAGTTTCCAGGAAACTTCCGGGAAACTTCCGCCGAGCACGTGGAAGTTTCCGGGAAACTTCCGCCGATCACGTGGAAGTTTCCCGGAAACTTCCACGGCTCGGTGGAAGTTTCCGGGAAACTTCCACGGCTCGGTGGAAGTTTCCTGGAAACTTCCGCCGAGCCCTGGAAATTTCCAGGTAACTTTAGTAGTAGTAGTAGTAGTAGTAGTAGTAGTAGTAGTAGTAGTAGTAGTAGTAGTAGTAGTAGTACTAGTAGTAGTAGAATATAGTAGTAATAGTAGTAATAGTAGTAATAGTAGTAATAGTAGTAGTAGTAATAGTAGTAATAATAGTAATAGTAGTAATAATAGTATTAGTAGCAATAGTAGTAATAATAGTAATAGTAGTATAATCGTAATAATAATAGTAATAATAGTAATTGTAGTAATAGTAGCAATAGTAGTATTAGTAATAATAGTAGGAATAGTAGTAATAGTAGTAGTAGTAGTAGTAGTAGTAGTAGTAGTAGTAGTAGTAATAGTAGTAATAATAGTAATAGTATTAGTAGTAATAGTAGTAATAGTAGTAATAGAAGGAATAGTAGCAATAGTAGTAGTAGTAGTAGTAGTAGTAGTAGTAGTAGTAGTAGTAGTAGTAGTAGTAGTAGTAGTAGTACTAGTACTAGTACTAGTAATAGTAATAATAATGATAGTAATAGTAGTAATAGTAGCAATAATACTAATAGTAGTAATAGTAATAGTAGTAATAGTAGTAATAGTAGTAATAGTAGTAATAGTAGTAATAGTAGCAATAGTAGCAATAGTAGCAAGAGTAATAACCAATGGAAGTTTCAGTGAAACTTCCACCGAGCAGTGGAAGTTTCCATTAAACTTCCACTGATCAGTGGAAGTTTCCCGGAAACTTCCAGCAGCACGGTGGAAGTTTCCAGGAAACTTCCACAGTGTCCGTGGAAGTTTCCGGGAAACTTCCACCGTATCCGTGGAAGTTCCCGGAAAACTTCCACCAAACTTCCACTGAGTTCGATGGGGCATGTGGTGCTTTTGATTTGTTTTTAAGAAAATTGGCGCCTGGGCGCTTTCGGGGGGGTGGGGTGAGAGGGTGGGTGAGTGGTCGAGGTGGTGTGGATGGGTGGGCGACTGGGTGGGGGGGTGGTGCCTATGCCTTTACCCGAAACCCCCAAGCCCGAAACCCCAAACCCGAAGCCCCAACCCAAAAACCCTTAAAAGCCTAACCCGAAACCCGAGACCCTAACCCAAAACCCTTAAAAGCCTAACACGAAACCCGAGACCCTAACCCGAAACCCTTAACCCAAAACCCTTAAAACCCTAACCCGAAAGCCGAGACCCTAACCCAAAACCTTTAAAACCCTAACCCGAAACCCTTAAAACCCTAAGGCCCTAATCTACCATCCCACCTAAAACCTTAAGCCCCAAACCCCTTTCAGCGAAAAGCGCCTTTTTTTCGCTCCTGCCTTGGTTTGGCTGCTTTCAACAGAGGGTTTGCTATCTTTTTTAGTGGCCCTAGCTTTGGATGTTAGTCTTGTTTAAGATAGCAGTCCCTCTGGAGCAGGGCTGCACAAGGCTCCGTGGTGGAGTGCTCCGTGGTGGAGTGCTTCGGTTTGCTTGCTTCAACAGAGGGTTTGCAACTTACTTTTTTAGGCTATTGTTGTTTAAGGGTCCTATAGGCTTGGGTTGAGGTTTTAGGGGCCCTGGCTTTGGAGGATATTCTTGTCTAAGGGTCCTATAGGCTTGGGTTGCAATCCCTCTGGAGCAGGCCTCAACCGCACGGACGGGGGATCATCTCAGGACCTTATCCGCCAGATCTCCCCACATTTGGCGGAGCAGGGCAAACCCAGCCTCCTGCGAGCCGGCTGAGCCGGTGCCGGCTTCCGATGGCTCCGGCGACCGCCGGGATACCTTCGGGCTCGGGCCCCGGATCTCCCTCTCATCACGACGAGGCTTGAGCACGAGGTCCCTTTTGGGGGGCTCAGCAGGCTCACTGGGCTTTCTGTTGTCCTTAGCAGCCTTGTTCTTGCCCTTGCCAGGCAACTGCCGCCACTGGGACTCGGCCACAAGGAAGGCCTCTTCCCTTGGCACCCCGTGTTTATTCTGC